ATCCTATACATTCTATCTCACTCTATCTCATTCTTGCTCTTGAACAGTATCCATGCTGACTAAATTGTGATTACTGATATTATACAGAAAGCCTGATTACTTGTTCGTTAACAATAGATATACCACTTTGATTAAAAAGTTCCCAGAATTACCACCAGGTGATGCTCTGAGTCAGCTGGTGATTTGAGTTGTTTTTTTGGTTAGGTTGCTACATCTATCACTGACATTTCCACCAAATTTTATTGCCATGGCTTGACATTTGTAAAAGTTACGCCGTCTTGAGTACATCTACCTCTGCACGGTTTTCGATTTTTTACAGTTTTAAAAATGGAGTTGAATTTGCAACATCCGTGGTTTTTTGACTCGATCGAACAGAAAAAAATCGCAGGAAGCCATATCGGGTGAATTCGATGGCTGTTGGATGGTATTCGTTTCGTTCTTGGTTAAAAATTCACGGATAAGGGCGCGTTCACACTTTGACGGAAAAGCAGAAAGCGGAAAAGCAGTGGCCAATCATAACTCGCGCTGGTAGCAAGTAGTACAAAAAACCGAAATTGTCAACTACCAGCGCGAGTTCTGACTGGCTGCTGCTTTTCCGCTTTCTGCTTTTCTGTCAAGGTGTGAATGCGCCCTTATGCTTACTGTTAAGAAATTTTGTCTACGGAGGCCCTAATTGAGGAATGCGTGAACTAATGTTATAGCTAATAGGCGTGCTCGCAGGCATATCAAGACAGATTTTAGGCGTATATTGTCTGTTGAACATGCAAACCTTTATTGTGAAAACATTAAGAAATATACGCGTAATTGCGTTATTTAAAATGCAGTCACAATAGAAGGAATAAAGAATAAAGATTTCGACCTATCAGAAACCGGATACACCGAAATACACGGTTTCTGATAGGTTGGAATCGTTATTCCTTATTCCTTCTATTGTGGTTGCACCATTACGTCGGATCTACAATAGGTGTTTTAAGCCTTAAACCAGAGTTGGTAAAGACTAATGTTTTTTTTTTAAGAATAAAATATACTGTGTTTCTTCTTAAATATGTTTTTAATACTTCAAATATGCTTTAAACAATACTATAAAAAAACATGTTTAGAACATATTAAAAACATCAATTTAGCATGTTTTAAACTGTTTAAAACACGTTTAAAACATGTTTTTTATCAACCCTGCCTTAAACCGTAAGAAATTGATCAATCACAGTCGAATTCGAGGAGAATAATCGACTATGATTCGTCCATTTCTTATGGCTTAAGGCTTAAACTCTATTGTAGATCCAGCTAACCCCGGATCTACAATAGAGTTTAAGCCTTAAGCCATAAGAAATGGACGAATCATAGTCGATTATTCTCCTCGAATTCGACTGTGATTGATCAATTTCTTACGGTTTAAGGCTTAAAACACTTATTGTAGATCCGGACTTATAATTTTGGCTTTCATAGTCGTGAAGTTCCATAAACATTTATAATGACGTATTTTCGATGTTGATTAATATGACATTATGTGGCTGTGACAAATCCATGTCACTTTTACGATGATAGGACATCAAATTCGTTAAGAATGATCAATTAATTACCCCGGATCTATAATAGGTGTTTTAAGTCTTAAGTAGTAAGAAATTAACCAATTACAGTCGAATTCGAGGAGAATAATCGACTATGATTTGTTCATTTCTTATGGCTTAGGGCTTATGGCTCCTGCACACTGGACGTGGAAAAGCTTAAGGCCATTACACGTAAAAGTATTAGTCGTAACCGTAAGACCATGAAAAGCGATAAATTGATAGGCTACGGGGCAAGAGGTAAGTCACGTGACTGTCTTCCGATTGGTTAGTCATAAGGATAAGGCATTAATCGCAATCTTTTGACGGGACGAAAACTTGCGTCTATGATCGTGGCTTTGAGGTGATAACGTTTTTCTCGTATTGCTTCTGCGTAGAAAACGCAACAATGGCTGCGTTCAGCAGAACGGTTGTTTTGCAACTGTTGGAAGTTTCCTTCGCGCTAATTGAATCATACTTTTAGATCTAGAAGAATGGTCCTATCTCAGCAGACAATCATAAAACGGTTGCAAAACTGTTGAGTCTGCTGAACGCAGCCAATGCATGGCCCCGACGCAGTAGCCAATCAATTTATCGCTTTTTACGGTTTTATGATTACGACTACGACTTTTACGTGCAATGGCCTTTACCGAGCGGCAAACGTTTCCGCGTGCAGGAGCCATTAGAACTCTATTGTAAATCCGAGGTTATGTCAAATAGACAATACCTTGCTACTTGGGACACACATACATATAAATATATATGTATATATATTTATACATGCATATATGTATACAGGGTGTATCAAAAGTTTGGAAACGGTCGAATATCTCGAAAGCAAAGCATTTTTGAGAAAATGTTTCAGACAAAAGTTGTAAGATTTAAAAAGATTTATTCATTGATCACATCCGCTTGACCTTGGATGTCGTCGCCAAGGTCAGGTCAAGGTCAAATTGATTTTTTTAAATGGAACACTATTTTTGATGCCAGAATCTAATAACTGGTGTCAAGAGCTTTTCAAAATACTATAATAAAGTTATTTTTCATTAAGTACTTTTCGAGTTATAAGGCTTGAAAGTTACAGTACCGCCGACATTAGCATTACGCAAAGTGTCTGACCGATGGTTAAAACCTCTTGAATATTGTTCAAAATCATGTCCTGGATAACATTTATCAAAATCAAAGTCATTGCAGGTTATACCTCTTATTTTCATTTTTACATAAAAATGAATTCTTAGTGCGAAAATGAAAATAACAGGTAGCCTCCAATGACTTTGATCTTGACAAATGTTATCCTAACTTTATTATGTTTCAAAAAGCTCTTTACATCAGAGAGAGAGAGAGAGAGAGAGAGAGAGAGAGAGAGAGAGAGAGAGAGAGAGA